ACGTATCGTGACCCACCAGGAGTTGGGTTCTTCATAGGGCCCATGACGTCAGAGTTAATAAGCTGCAGTGGCTGCGTTGTCTTTGTCTTCGACTCTTGTGGAAAACTCGCGACACACAGTTTCCCTTGTAGACACCCTCCACACAAATTCTTGTTCGTGTCAGGTACTACATTCGGTAGTCCTTCCGTAGCCTCCTTTGTCCTTTTAAACTTGTTGTGGCTAATGTGACCCATTCGTGCATGCCACAGCTCCCACTTGTTACCAGCGCCTTCATGTTCTACCAACATCGCGTGCTCATACTCCACATCAAGAGTGTACACGCTTCTTATGCGCTTCGCAGAAATCATCAACACATTATCCTTGTAGATACCGCAGTATTTTCCACCGAATCGAACGTTGTACCCACGCTGGACGATCTTGGGAACCGCTAGTAGTCGTCTGTCCAGTGTTGGAATGTGCAATACTTCATTCACAGTCACTGCTGTACCATTCGTACAGCGAAATCGAATGCTTCCTCGTCCAATTGCATTCATGACCGCACCATCGGCAACGCGAACTTGAATGGCTTCTCTCAATTTCTCGCACTCAAAGAAATCTTCTTCGGCTGGGGTCATATGTGACGAGGCGCCGCTGTCCAACAACCATCCTTTTTTTAATCCGTTTGTGGCCGTGAATGCCATTTCATTTCCATCATTCTTGGTGGCAGATCGGCACTCAAACTGCTTGTGTCCGATCTTGTTACAGCGGTGACACTTCCCACGAAACGGCTGTTTCTTCTTCCAGCTCTCTTCTGCACCACGTTGTTTGCGCATTCCACGACCACGATCCTGTTTATGGCCTCCACGACCAACGCGGAAAGCTCCTTCGGAGACCTCTTGCTGATGCTTCTTCTTGTGTTCTTTCAACAGCTTTTCTTTCACATCCACCATCGTCACACCCATGGAATTCTCAATGATGGACACAATCATCTCGTACTCTGCCGGTAAGCTACTCAGCAGAACTGTCATCTGGCGTGCGTCGTCCATGGTATCGCCCACCGCCTCCATACTCAAAACAAGTTCATCGAAGCGGTCGAGGTGGCTCACCATGTCGCCTCCCTCATCCATACGAAATTCGTGCAATCGACGTGTCAGTGCCACTCGATTCTGAAGGTTTGTCTTGTTGTAGTAGTCGCGTAGTGTTTCCCATACTTCCTTCGCAGTGCGAGCATGTCGGATATTCGTCTGATGCTTTACTTCGATCCCTTGAGCAATAATAGCAAACGCCTTCATGTCCTTGACCTTCCAATCCTCCGTCATCTCCTGCTCCAACTTCACTTCCAAGATGTGCTCTAGCAGGCCCTTCCTCGCAAGTGTCATCTTCATATTGAATTCCCAATGGAAGTAGTTGTCTGTTCCAAGCAGGTCATCGGGTTTCTTCATCGTACTGGCTTCTGGCAGAGTTCCTTAAGCTTTTGGGCTCAAACCTGTTATGTCGAAGGAAAATTGGAAAGTGTATTGAATTAGTTTTCCTATGAACTTACTCGTCGTGTTATCTTCTTCTACCTTGTAGCTTTCCCTGATCTTGATGGATTCTAGAACATACACTCAAGGTAGTTCTAGAATCATCAGACTGCACGTGAACCGTTTACACCCTGTCGTATCATCGCTGTCTTGTCACTTGTGCGTAGCAAATCACAGTTGGCTTTGTTGACCGTGCATTGACAGTGCACACATCAACACGGACAACCTTTGGGGGTCACAGGGGCTTGCACGCAGACTATCACGCTGATCCAAGGGACCAATGTCATGCACTGGAGGTGCAGCGGACTCATCCCGGAGCTGGCACATGGGTCTTGTGACGACAGGCGGGCGATTAGCCAAGAACTGCAGGAATACGGCCTCGTCTTCAAGGCGTACCCACAACTTCACCGGTTTCCTTGGGTAGTCCCGGATCCTACGTTGAATCGGTTCGTCCAAGCGGCGCTCAAAGAGCAAGCCTTTAGGTATCACAAAAAAGTGTTGGCCCGTCCCTTGGGGATCTTCCTGGATCGTCTTGAGGAAAGGTCGGGGCGAGACGACTGGCAACGCGCGGCACTCAGTCAAACGCCGAAGCAAGTTTGGGACCATAGTCAGGGCCTCACGTCTTATCAAGTCTGGACCGGACATCGGGTCGCTACCCGGCAACTTAAAATGCACCATGCAGGGCGACTCACGAACAATAAGTGCCGAAAGCAACCAGGTTGCCCGGGTGGAGTAGATACATTGACGCACTTGTTTTGGGACTGCTCCTATGATGTCGCGGGGTGGACCAAGCTGGTCGGGCACTGGACGGGGGAGCATGCTTTCCCCCAGGTACTCAAACACTACTTTGGCGCGTGTGCCAGCAGACAAGTCGCCAGCATACCCAAGTACAGGAAGGCACTCCTTGCGGACCGATTTCAGGAGAATCAGGAAGCGGCTGAGCGGATGCGGAAGCAAATATGGCACATTCTAGCGACGATCTGTCAGACCACGCTATGGGCGGACCGGAACGACGCGGTCTATCAAGCACTCAAGAAAGACATTATCAGCACAACGACCTGTTTTTGGGCTACATGCATCCGCCAACTTAGCGCACTCGCGACCAGAGCACATAGACAAGTGTCTTCGACTGTTCGGGGAGCCATGCTATATGCGTGCATCGAGTTACTCGAACACGAACCGAAAGGGTCACCAGGCTTACCTGAGCACATCCCAGATCAGCCCCCGGATCCCTTGGCGCTGACATCTTGGCTAAGGCTGTACCAGAGATCATGCACATAGTTACTTCCGTGTAAATAGACTATCTGCGAACAACAACAACAACAAGATATCGAAAATATACGATAAGTTTCGGCAAATCAAAATTGTTACAGTCCTAATCTCAAATATATTTGCTTACACTTTTTTCAGATTATTTTTATAACGTGGTGGAGTTTATTGTAAGGATATTATCCGTGGTGTATCCGAAACAACCTACCCCATTTTTGACCGACGTACACCCCGCTACGTTGGAGCGTATGGATGAGACGGACCATGTGCAGGGCTTATAGAGAGTGGCAAAGACTGTTTGTATAACGACATTACTCTCGCAAGATATCCGTCGAATCCGAATCATGTTTTTCAACGCCCATGTCTACTTTCGATCTAGCAGTTTAATGTGACTTATTGCTGCGTTTGGTACTCTTGTTAGTCCATGCTGAGAACATTGAGGCATTCCAATAAGTACGCATCATTCATTACCCAATGTCATCCCCTCTCCATTCTCATATGGTTGACACGCAGACACCTTGTCCGCCATGGGCAAATGCCTGAGCACTACCCGTTTGAGGTAACCTCGTTGCTTTCAAACTCAGCTCTGTCTCGCTAGATCCAATCGGCTGAAAAAATGTACACTTAGCTGAGTAGCCACCTTGTCTTCTTTCATTAAGCTCCATACAATATAGTGTAGGAACGTGGTGGCCACCCATCCTTAAACGCTCGGTGGCTCGTTTTGTGGTTGCTAATAGCGGCGGTTGCGTTCTGGCCCGAAAAGGAGTTGCACAGTCATCCACGTTGCGGTCACCCATCCAAGTTGTCGCTGCAGTCCAACAGCAGTCATGCGTGTATGGGCATCCTCAAAATATTTGCTCGGGAGTCTTGTGATGACCTATACAGCAATTGCAACTGTAATTGTGACTCGGCTGATGAGTTTGGCCGCACGGCTCTACCCAAGAAAATTCTGCGAATTCGTTTGATGAAAAGAGAAAGTTGAAGACCAGATATGATTTGTACCGGCTGACACAGAGCAAGTACGGAGACCGTACCTAGGAGCTATCGAATGAATTAGAGCGTGCGAAGACCAGATCTGAGAGCTGGCAGTCGACACATAGTATTGCGAAGACGAGGTCTGAAGGCTGGCAGTCGCCACAGAGTAGTGCGAAGACCAGCTTTCAAAGTTGGCAATCGCCACAAAATAGGACTGAATCCTGCGGAAGACGGTAGACGAAACGGCGACCAGATCTGGAAGCTACCTCCATTGTGTTGGAATTTCGTGTGTAGAACAAAGGCACTTGTGTGTGAAGAGGTTGAAGTAGAAGGGAATGTAATTAAGTGTTTTCTTCGTTCGCTAACACTATAATATAACATGCACTGCAACTTGACCACAACATGATTGCGTCCGTCTTCCCTCTCATCTTGCAAGCCGTCACCATGTCGTCCAACGGTCATATCGCTACCTCGTTCCGCCACCTGGCCCATCACCATCCTGTCACGACACCTGTCACTGTCGTTGCCTCGCACCATCTGTCAAGATATTTGTAGACTCGACCAATCAGGTGTCACCGTCACATGTTCTTTCCGTTGAGCCTGTAACATAACATTGACTGACAAGACGTTTCTAAACAGGCATTTCTAATACATTGGTCAAATGCTACGCGGAATTAGGGTGATCCAGAGCTTGCGGCCATAATGTTTTGCACTGTGGTTTCTCATTCCACAAAGTGCGCGATCGACACCATGCGCAGGCTTTTACCTTTGTTCACAGCCTTTGTCGCCTTTCAGTGGACCACTGCAGAACCTACGTCAACTCCAACCACCCACGATGACCCTCTCGACAAGTCCGCTTTTGCCTCTCATCTGAAGATCGACAAGTCTGACACGCCAAGAATCCTGGGACTGCGCGACGTGGCTGATTCCGAGGACGACCACGTTCACCCGTTCAACGAGGAGAGAGCACCTAACCCATTGACAGTCTTGACACCAGCCGATGCGACACCATTCGTACGCGTGGCTCAAACCCTCATCCCCGCAAGAAGCGAGACGAGTTCGATAAGCGCATACGCGAAATATGCTGAGGACCTCAAGAACTCATTCTTACACCTTGAATCGATAAAAGCTCGCGGCTCGACCCCTACCGCCGTTGCTGCCGCTCAGATTCTGGGGACCATCGAGGACAACACAAGAACATCCGTGGCGACTTTAGTTCGCTCTGTTAATGTCGATCCCCATGGAGTCACCGCCATGCTGAGAGCGCTAGTCGTGAGATACAAAGACGTCGCTGGGCTGGTGCTGAACGAGTGTCGGGAAAAGTTGGTACACCCTGATTTGGTTTTCCTTATGCTGCCTTTCTCTGAGGAGATTCACGTGCGTGGCCTTCAGAATTACGCGAGATTCCGTGAGATCTCTGATGACCTTGAGCGGTATCTGGACTATGTCAAGTACTTCATTAATCGACAAATGAACCGGGCGGGTCAGACGCCTCGTGGTCAACCGCACATGCGTGGTAACTACTGGTATGAACACTTTGTCGTCCAAATCATGTTGGAAGCAGCCAGACCACAAGAGTTTGTGGCGTATTTGGAGTATCTTCGAATACAGAATCGTTTGCGTGACTTCGTAACGCGTGCGGACCGAGTATTGCTGGCCATGCATCCGGAAAAGACTGAGGACTTGTTGCTGCGATCGTGGGCAGTGGATGATTTGGACCTCAAAGGCGCGATTGGTTTCATGCCTTGGGGAGATTTTCACGCGCCTGATGCTCGCGTCGCGATGGACAAGGAAATAGTGGTCGACATTCGTAAAAGGTTCAGACAGGTTCTGAAGTATGTGCGCCTATACCGAGAAGTACAACCACTTGGTCGGCTTGACGACAAGGAAGTTGCTGATGCACTGAAGTATTGGTCAACAAGTGAGGAATTGTTGGCATACAGGGAACTGCTTGAAGGCCATTTGGACGAGTACGGGTCTTTCGAAAAACTGGTGAAGGTTGTCGGTACTTTCTATCCGTTTACAAAAAAGGAAATAGCCAAATCGAAGAGGATCGTAGCTGATATTCTCAGGGTACCGAACCGCACGAACCTGTTACGGCTTGACAACAATTTGCTAGCACCGTATTAGGGCGTTTTGTTCTGCTTCATACATAATCATCATTTTTGCCTGCTTTGTACGTGTCATTACATTTACTTCTTTGTGAAAACACGTTCGCGTCCCATTGCACGCGTTGCAGGCCAGCCCACATGTGCCAACGACGTCTTAAACAAGCGCTTGTACACAAATTCCACTCGACTTCAGCAAAGTGCGCCATCGTATACACCATAGGGCAAGGCGCATATTGCCATTGACTTTGAACCTGACCACAATCGGCTAGTCGACGCATACCCAGCCAAACCATGTGATGTATATGCGCCATGAACCCAACTATCTCCCTTTGTAACGGGCACTGCTTACTTCGTACTGGAATACCAGTACGGAGTCAACTTCACTGACTACACTGTGAAGTCAGTACCCTGCTATGTGTAAGCACTACACAGAGGAAGGATTGAACAACTAAAGCAAGGCTCTAGTTGTAGAAAAAGTATAATCGCTATTTAATGCAATCAAATCCGATAACTCTTGTACCCTGTTCTGACCTGACTTATTATATCGATATAACTAAATGTACGATGACGTCTACTCACCACCCATTACGCGAGTCCAGCAGCGATAGTTAGTCTGGTTGATGTAGCGTCTAGATCAACCACTAAGTGGGGCACCCAAAGAATGTTACCCTCGGGGATAATATTCCGTCAACATCACCTCTTCTCGAGTGATGTTGATTGAATATTATCTAAATCGATAATATTCAAAAATTGATATCTTCGTACCGATTTTTATGTAACGGGCTCACCCCGTGGCATCACAAGCCGGTTCAATGTTTTGAGTTTTTTCTCACTGACAAATGGGTCTTTCTTCGCACACACACAATCGAAGCCTTTGCCCGTCAATGTGTCACAGTTCTTGATTACGCTTTAGTGTCATTCACTTGGGCTTAAAACTCTGTTGTAATCTCTATAGCGTTGAGCTTTTAGCTAGCACTGGGTTCCTGAGAACGCCAGATGTTACTACCTTGACTCATAATGATATAATTTACTCAGCTAAGCTCTTTCTGGCCACAAACGACTGCCTTGCACATTACACAACGCGATTGAGCTTTGCATGCATGCGGTTTCAGCTAATCTGCGAATCAACACCTTCGTAAGTCGACTCGTCCCGTTCTGATACCGTCGATTCCCTTGTCCCTTGATTCAACCAGATTCACCCGACAGTAACCGGACTCGAGATATTCCAATGACTTCAAGTTGGGACCACATCGCAACATCGACGACGTTTCGATTCTCGCAGTACCCGCGGCGCATCACCATGTGGTTTCTTCTTGTTGATTCGTTTGAAAACCGACCCCGGTGGCCGAGTGGAGAAGCACTGGCACCGGGACTGTGAGGTATATGGCTCGATGCCCACATAGGGGCGGTACGATTACACATCCCTGGAGAGTGTGGAAAACAAAGCCGGATATGGTTAGCCGTACGCGTTCCCGAATATAAAGTAGACCTTCTCTTCTCTCTCTTGTTTCGTTTTCATGGCAAAATATGCATCAGTTACTACAATCCCTTTCTAAAACGATAAAATTACTTCGCACACAGCAAATCGTGCATTTGACCGGTTCAAAGCTCAGCCGCCAATCAAATTGCTTCTATTCGAAATTACCAGATTCTAATCGGATAGTAATCAGCATCGTGCACTGACATGATACCGTGCACAAAACTGGTCGTCTACCTTAGCATCATTTACTTCATTCAACTGATCTTTGTGAATGCGCAAAGAGAGCAGGTGTTCTTTTTTTTGTTACAGATGGTCTATTTACACGGAAGTAACTGTGTGCATGATCTCTGGTACAGCCTTAGCCATGATGTCAGCGCCGGAGGATCCGGGGGCTGGCCTGGGCTGGGCCCAGGTAAGCCCGATGGCCCTTTCGGTTCGTGCTCGAGTAACTCGATGCACGCATATAGCATGGCACCATTAATAGTCGAAGACACTTCGAAGAGAGCAGTGTGTACCATCGAACCTCTATATCGACCTACACGTCCCATGAGCAGACCGAAAGATCTGCCCTAGCTCGACTCAAAGCTGCGATTCAGCCATCTGCTTCTCCTTGACGTGCTCCAGCATCGCTAGCAGACCAATGAAATATGGCCTCACTCTACACTGGCCAATCATCACTTGCCAGCTCAACAGCGACTTCCCGGCCGCTTCCTCCGGTCCCTCGTCTTCTGCGTCGATAAGTACTGACTTAAGAAAGACAAAGCCATTGCAACCAGCGATCCACTGACTGCCTTGAACTCGGCACTTCCCATTCCTTCGCGTCCAGCGTCGGCCCACACTGCAACATGACGTCGCACGCCCATCCGGAGAACGTCATCGATTTGTTCACGGACGAGTTACTCCTCCACGATACGGACGACTTGGCTCTGCCGCTGCTGTCACTGGACGTTGACGTGGACGACGCGCTGCTGACGTCTGCTGAACTGGCGAGGACGAGTCTGACGCACTTGCAGGAGACGCCGCTGCCCGTCGTGAGCCCCGACGTCCCAGTGAGTCCATCACTCAGCAGCACCGCTAGCGTTGGCAGTAGCAGCAGCAGTAGCAGCACGAGCGACACAGTGTCTGCTACTCTGCGACTGCCGCAGTCGCTCTGCTGGTCGCCAGTAGAGTTGGACTCAACGGCGTCTCCTGCCACGACCCTCTCACTCCTAGACTCGCCCTTGACGACGTGCTCGCCACTGCTCAATGGCCAAAGGCAGCTGGCATTAAAGGCTCAGACGACGCCCGCCAACAGTAGCCATCGCTCCAGCAACGTTAGCATTTTCCAGCAGCTCAGTCCCGTCATTGGCGACCACCGCTGCGGTCGAGTCGAAGCAGTTTGCTGAAAAGACGCGATCATCGGCAACACTTGAGCCAATTGCGGCGACCCTGCTGCCTTGTGCCGCACCGGTCGCGTACGTCTCAGTGGTTTCCTCCGTCGCGTCGTCTGCACCTGCCACAAGCGCGACAGCAATTGACAATGACGACGCGACGGCAGTGAAGACCAGGCGGGCGATCCGCTAGATGAAGAATCGAGAAAGCGCCAACAAGAGCCGCTTGCGTCGCACGGCACGGCTGGCAACGCTGATGACGGATGTGGCCGAGCTGAAGAAGAAGGAACAGGAGCTACGGACCATTGTTGCTGGTCTACGACCCGAGAACAAGTCACTGCTGGACCAGAACGCGTTTCTGCGCTCACTCGTGACGAGCTCTGAGCAGGACTCGTCATCTCTAGACGGCTAATTGCTGGCTGACTGCTGTCGCATCGCTACTGTGTCCTGCGGGATCGGCGGTGGATCAGAGCAGCGTGGCGCTCCATCTGCTGGAGAGTGGCCAGAAGCAGCAAAACGATGAGGAGGACGACCAGGATGTAATAGAATTAACAGCTTCGGACACGGAGATGCCGACGCTCCGTCCAGGCAAACGGCGCGCCGTGGCGTCTACGCTGTCGAACACCGCAAGTCTGACAGTGTGCGCATCTGTGTTTGGAGTCACTGTGTTTACCAGCTACGAAAACGGTGCAGTTGACCCTGGCACCGTTCGGGGTGTCGGACGCGTGTTACATGAGGCTTCGACGTTGTGTGGTATGGACAAGTGCTTGTCGGAAGCGTCAATGTCACAGACAGCGTTCGTGGAGACGACGATGAGGTCTTGGTGGCATGTGGTAACGTCGTCCGAGCTGGTCTTTGGCCTGTTGCTGAACGTGGTGTCTTTCATTGTCATCATGGTGCTGTATCGGCTGTGGAATCGCCACATTCGGCGAAGAATGAGCAAGTAATCATACATGGACGTGTCAAGTGACACTGAAGCCTCTTGGCACCGTGGCAAATGACACCAGCCATACAGACGCGCGTGTGTGAAGTTTCCTTTGGAACAGTCGGCGCTACAGATACATGTGAAGCAAGTCGCCATGCCGTCGTGATGTGATACAGGGTGGGATTGGTGTGTCGCGTCGAGATGTTAACTTGCCAAATGGAAAGCACGTGTATGAACTTGATGTCCTGAACTGCAACTTAGAGAGAGAAATTGTCACTCTTCTTGGTCAATTTGGTGCAGGCAACGAGAATTGGCAAGGGACGTGTAAACACGAGCTAACGTCGTGATAACGGACGCCCATTCGAGCACTGTGACTTCGTTGCTGCTGCTGCTGCGGCCAATCTGAAGCAGGCTGCTGTACCGTTGCGAGCGGATCGATTTTTCTTTCGGCTGCGAAACTGACTGCGAATGCGCCTCTGTGTGTCAAACTCGTCCGCACGTACACCTGAGCTAAGCTTTCTGAAGCAGTTTGCTTCGCTGTCATTGCATGGAAGGTCACTGCAGGCTCTGCAGCAGACTGTCTTTGTCAACGTTGCTAAAACAAATCAATCACGGATGTCTCCATTGGTGAATTATCACGCTCGAACAAAAGCAAGATGGCTGCCCTCGCATCGCTGGACTCGCGAACGAGATGTATACACTCATGGAATAGGGCGTAGGAAGTGGATCCAGCGCGCGGTTGCGTGTCGATAACACTTTCGTTCACAAAGTCTACGAAGCATTGAGTTTGAGTAAACTCGAGCAGGAATCGCCGATTCGAGGGCACCGCATTACAGAAAGACTCGTGGTCAAACTGTGTCGGCGAAGAAAGAGCTGGAATGCGGCGTCGGGTGCGATCGCACTCTTGCGTTGTCGGGAGTGCATGCTTTCTGCCAACGGCACAAGTACTTGATTCCTGGCGGTGAGCATTGATGTACCGTTGGTAGTCGCGACATATACTCGCGAACATAGCAGCGAAGGCTCCTCGCAGCGTATCCACCCACGGTAGCGAGTGATTCTCCAACGTGGCCTGCATTGCTGATACCAACGACAAAGCTTGCAGTCGATCGGCAAAATTGCAAGCATTCTTGTGTGGAAGCGTCGCATTCAAGAACCGCAGGCGGATTGGACGGATTGTGCACTGCAAGCAATCGATAGTCTCCTCAAACGTCATGTCCAGCGTGGAATGACCATTTATACCGGTGAGGTAACTTCCGGTAGATACTAGCCCCGAATACTCCGCTGGTCCTGCAAGTCCATTTAGCAGTCTGGGCAGTGACTTGACGACTGCAGACCCGGCTAGCTGGCGCTTGGAATCGAAGTTACTGGCCGCTAGAAGTCGAAGATGCGTCGGCTCAAAGGTAATTCCAAGCTTCAAACACGCACAATAGCCTCCATTAGATCGTATATCACGCTCCCTTTTTACTGACCAAACTGGCTGAATACATACCGGTCCTTCCCCAAATGTCAGTTCAACTTCGTTGACTACGTCGGAAGCGGATTGAGGACATTCTGAGGCAGGATGCAAATAAGGAGAGCCGTGTCCGATAGGACTTGGAACTACATTTTCAAGCAAATCCAGGACGGCAGCTACTTCACTTGCGGGTAATCGGGGCAGGACCCATTCCACATATGAATCCTCAACTCGCGAAGAAATTGGAGATACGACTTTGTCTTTGTCCAAGTGGACAACAACACATGACGCAAACATTTCTGCACCTACCCGAGTAGTTAAGGAACTTGTGTGTAGCCCGATAAAGTACGGCACGGGTGCCTGTTGTCTCAGATATAATTTCCAGGAATGTGATCAGGAATACCATGATGTCGACACTTGCCTTCAAGCGGTTGCGTACCTGCAGATATTCGATCAGCTCTACAGGCAGGAATGGAATATACACGTGTTTCCAGCAAAAAGGAAACAGCAGGGTAGACAGTGCCTCGCAAACCGGTGTAAGCCTGCCTTGATACTGAATCATACAAACGAGCGGTTTAGTGTCGTTAAGTCTTTTGCTACGCAGTATAACGTAAACAGATAGGAGACTCGTACACTTGAATGGACCAGCACGCGCTGTTCAAGAAGCAAACAGTTCACAACGTAAATGACGTTCTTCAGGCTCAAGCACTGAAACAGCATCTTGAAGCAGTAGTCGTCCATGTGCACCGCTTTTCCTCGCTGCACATGGTAGCGAAACAGGCTCTGTCCGTGAGCCCTGATATGCAAAGTTTTGCCCAAAAGACATTCACTTGTGTACTGCAGCAGCTTCGAAAGAACACGATACTGCTCTTCACGTATCGCGAGCTTTTTGTTGCAATGACCACGATTCCGACCAAACATCAAGTCAAGCTTTTGACCGACAAGCTTTCTGCTGTTGCTGCAGCTAGCATACGGTGACAAGGACGCATGATGTACGATGCTCGGCGGGAGAAGCCAGCCGTGCGCTTCGCACGCACGCGCAATCTTCATTTGCACCGCTGAATCTTCCGTTGTACTATGTCGACTTCGACACATCCAGCTGTTATCCACCCAGAGCGAAGCCACAGCGAGAATTAGCAAATCACAATATCTTCCATCTCAGTATCGTCGTCATGTTTGTACGTACCTAAGAATCTCTTTAAAAAGCGAAAAAAACGGGTGATGTGATATCAGGCACAGCACTCGCGGCCTCCATCCCAAAGCAGTTTCAACAACAGATCCTGCATCCCAAACATGATCATGAATCAATTCGTCATCAATTATACACGATCGTATGCTGCAGTGGCGAACTCATACAGCCTCCCTACCATTCCCACAATGTTGGAAATAGTGCAGCGCAAAGCCGTACGCACGAGCGCCATCCCCTCCCGTCAGCACGAACGACAAGAACGTGGGTCTACGCTCATACGCTGCCATCTGTGCCACCATTTTGCTCTCGGGAATGCAAAACTAAAACCGACAAAATAATTGTCCATCATCAGAACGTCCTTGCAAATGCAAACCACCGATACAAAAGTCTCCACAACATATACGTACGTACAAATGGCACCCCATCGGGCAGAGCGAAGTCCTCGTGGTCAGTCAATGGCATCCGAACTACGATTCGACGCTTCACATGCTCGCACTTCTTCTGCTGCGCTACGTGCATGAACGAGACGATGGAGAAGAGTGACGTGCTAATGACGTGCATAAATTCCATACAAAGTCGCGCACCTGCTGCATCTGCAACGACTTCAACAAAGTAATCGACGAGTCGCATCGTAGCTCTTCGAACGCCACGCGCTCTTTTTGTCTCTCTTTGTCTCTCTTTGATGGAATACTTAGATAAAAAATAAGCGAAGATAATAGTTCGATAGTGGTGTGCCGCACATAATGCAGTACCCCGTGCTTCAAAGGCTGGCAACAGCTCGAAACATGCTGCGCACGCTGCAGTCGTCGCTGCGGCACTCGCAGAGCGTGCGCACGTTGTCTCTTGCTCCATTGCGTCGTCGCTGTACGCTGAAGTTCTTTCCACGTCCAGACTCTATCGTGTTGACGCAGTCGCTTTCGTTCCGATGGCTCGCGACGACAGTTCCCACTGGAAAAGACCTCGACAGAGGAGGAGCAGCTACAGAGGAGAAGAGGGATAAAGGACCGAAAACGATCTTGAACACAAAGGACAGCCAGAGTGTGGAAGCGAACAAGCAGGCGGATAGCAGTGGTGATCGGGGACACAAACACGAAGACGGTGACAATCATGCCGATGAGCTTTTCCAGACTCTGGCTGTTGAGCCGACGTACCCCGCGCGGAAGCTACGCACAGACGTAAACCAGGCCTATTTTCCAGGCAAAGTGTACCGCTCTACGTCCCGCGACGTGGTGCTTCGAGCTATGCTTGGCAATACACTCATCACGACGCTCAAGGTGCTGGCGTGGCTCAAGACGGGCTCGAACGCAATGCTCTCGGAAGCGATTCACTCGCTTGTGGATACTGGCAACCAAGCAATTCTTATCTTGGGATTGAAACAGGCATCGGGCGTGCCGGATAAAAAGCATCAGTATGGATACGGACGCGCGGCGTACTTTTGGTCGCTTATCTCGGCGCTCGGCATTTTCTGGCTAGGCTCTGGTGTGACAGTTGTGCACGGCATCCAGTCGCTCATAGAGCCTCCGAAAGAGTTGTTTTTGTCGTGGGAAGTCTGGGGTGTGCTTGCAGCTTCTTTTGGTATCGACGGATGGGTGCTAAAGCGGTCGGTGCAAGAACTCAGGGCTTCTCAGCCCCAAGACATGTCTTTTTACAAGCATGTGACACGGACGAAAGACCCGTTTATGATGGCTGTGCTGCTGGAAGACATGTCTGCGTGTGTAGGTATCGTTATTGCTGGTTGTGGCATTGGAGCCAGCCACATTACAGGCAACCCGCTGTGGGATAGTCTTGCTAGTATATCGATTGGTGTGCTTCTTGGCGGTGTTGCGATATCGCTTATTCGAATGAACCAGAAGTATTTATTGGGTCAGTCAGTGGAACCTGAAATCGAGAATGGCATCCGCAAGCTGCTGCTGGCGCGTCCGTCCATCGACAATGTATATGCTGTCCAGTCACAGTGGGTCGGACCGTCGACATTCAGCTACAAGGTATGACAACAGCACGGCGCGACTTGTACTCTGCATTGTGTGTTGGGTCTGACTCACGTGGAAATGGCATGTTCTAGGCTGAAGTCGATTTCGATGGAACTTACCTGGCGGCGAAATTGTTGCGAATGTGAGTGTCATGATGTGTGTTGTGTTACTCATTCTTTGCCAACAACGATATGTGTTAACGATGTGTGTTTTGTTTCCTCCTGGTCTGAGTAGGTACAAGCCAGTATTCTTGGAGACAAAAGATTTGGAAAATGACTTGCCGCTCATTCTTGCTTGGTACGCGGAGGATGTGACCCGTCTTGTAGAGAAGGAAGTGCAAGAAGTTGAAGAGGTTATTCGTGGCATCTATCCCGAGGCCGCTTTCATCGAGCTAGAGCCTGATAGTAAAGAGTCCGAAATGCGTGCTGTGTTAAGCATGCAGACAAAGTCTTCCCGTGTGAGCGAGCGTGAAGCGATGACGCGAGCATTGGCTCTCCTCGCACGGACATTAGAACGAAAGACAACGGGCGTTGACCGTCCTACTATTACCGGTACAAGTAAATGAACGTTCAATGATGCAGCATTTGTCGAGTCGCTGTGTGTGTCAACTAGCACGGAGGTCACTACAGCTGAGGTAGACTTTGAGAGACTATACGGAAGAGCGTATTGTGTCAATCTGGCGAAACATGACTGCTACAGCAGCATCGATATAGCCAAAAGAAGCGTGAGAGTCTTATCAGTCATTCGGTCGTCATACAATAATAAGCATTCGCTCACTCCTTGCTGCATTTCTTGCATCGAGTAAGCCAATGGTGTCAGATGCCAAGCCATATCCAGTATAAATGTTCTTCTTCTATGAGAAAAACTAGCTTGCCTAGCTGGTGTCATGTGCCATAACACTATGAGGCCTTAGGATGAAGCGATCCCACAGCCGATACAGCACCATGATGACAATGAAAGACACCACGTTCAGCAACGGGCCAAAGACCAGCTCGGACGACATTATCACATACCACCAAGACCTCATCGTCGTCTCTACGAACGCTGTCTGTGATATTGGTGCTTCCAACAAGCACAAGCACAAGCACAAGCCCATGCCACATAACTGTTCGCAATAGAAGTAGCACTCTCTTGCACTGTAGTAAAAGGATTCTGTCATTGATCTTTTGTTATCTCTTTTCTACTCTTTACTCACCGCCATCCCTGTCCACTCGATCTACAAATCCCGCATATTGTGTCACTCAATGTGTACACTATACAATCACAGTCAGTGGCCGCCATTCCCATCGTCGTGCCGCGCGCCGCGCGCCCCTGCGCAATCGCATTTAGCACGACACTCTTTTCAACACTCCTCCTCGGCCATGACTTTCCGTCCATTTAGCCGAGTTGTAGCAACTCGCACAACTCTGCGAGTTCTGCGGCGTCGAGGGCCTTCGTCAGCAGGTCCTCCAGTTGCAGCTCCGAGCGCACATACTGGGCCGCGACAACCCCACGCCGGGCGTAGTCGCAGACAAACTTCATGCGTACGTCAATGTGCTTCGCCTTTAGAGACGACGCCTCGCCCGCCAACTGCTTCAACGCCGCTTGATTGTCGACGTGCAGTACCATCGGGAGCATGGGGGTTTCCCGATCTCGCACAGCATCTCCCTAATGCCAAGCAGCCCGCGCACTTGCTCCGACGCAGCGACAAACTCCGCCTCCATCGTGGAAAGCGACACTCCGCCCTGTTTTTTCGCCGTCCAGCTCACAGGCATCCCATTCAGGCGAACGATACCACCGGTCAAGGACTTCCTGTCCGACTTCTCAGCGGCGAAGTCGGCGTCCGACAAGGACTCAAGCTGCAGCTCCCCATCCGAGATCTTCGCTGGCTTCATGCGCAGTTTAAATTCGCGCGTACCTTTAAGGTAGCGCGCGATCCGTTTGGCACGCTTGAGGCCTTGCAGACGTGGCTGGTGGGTCTAGCGCGTTGCTTTATGCACTGCAAACGCTATGTCCGGCCGCGTGCAGCGCGCCACCCAGAGCAGACTATCGACAAGGGATTGGAACGTCCGGACACTTGTACCCCCACTGTCTCCGCTCTCATCCAACAGCTCGCAGTCTTCTGGTTGAACTCCATAGCAGTCTGACCCGATCGGAGCTCGCGTCGCGTTGGCATTATCGAGACCGTGCTCGCGCAACAGCTCGCTTATCGCTTCCGTCTGGTCCAGAACGTAGCTGCCGTCATCTTCCATTGCGACACGCATTCCAAGAAATTTGCTGACGACGCCGAGGTCCTTGATGAACAGGCTCCCAAGCTGATTGAAGAAGCGTTCAACAGCAGCTGTATCGGTTCCGGTGGCCAGCAGATCGTCCACGTACGCACCCACGACTACCAGCTGGCCATCATCTACCTTCCAGTACAAGCACATGTCCGATATACACTGGATGAAGCCAGCGTCTAGAACTCGGGCGTGCAACAGCTGGCTCCAAAGCCGTCCGGCCTGCTTGAGGCCGTACAGACTTTTATGAAACTCAAGTACAACTTCTTTCTTGTTTGTTGCTCCAATTGTCTTGAGAGTTTCCTCATTCACTTCCATCGCCTGTGGAATATGCAGCAGTATCTCCAGGTGGGATTCTTTCTCAGCCTTTACGTAGGCGTTGGGAGTGTCCCCGTGCTTTGCCGGCACGCCCCAAATCGCTGAAAGCGCCAGAATCACCATAACGGTTGACATATCCATGACAGCAGCGAAGGTGAGTTGGTAGTCCACCCCAAAAAACTGCTTGTTGCCGCACGCCACAAGGCTTGCCTTTAAACGTTCTAGGTGACCGTCGGCATTTGTCTTCGTCCTGTATACCCATTTCGTGTGCAACGCGTTCCTTCCTTTAGGTCGCTTGATAATGCGTCACACGCCGTTTTCTTCAAGAGCTTGTAATTCTTCTATCATTGCTCTCTCCCAACCCTTTCTTTCTGCGCTGCGCATCGCCTCCCTATAGTTTTTTGGCTCACGCTCGTACACATGCGCTATCACAATTTCTTGTGGAACACCTTCTTCTTGATCCAGCTCCTCCTAACCGCTTAAACCTTGCGTGTGCTTGGTCGCACTGCGCGTCCTATGCGCAGCACGCGTCCAGGATTTAGTCTTCTTCTTGCCAGCTCGCAACTTTCGCGCAGGCACCCCATCCTTTGCAGGTATGTGTGTTTTTTGTCACAGACAATGGTCCAGGTCCAATCGAAGATGTGCCTGGTGCGACTGCCACAACCACCTGATCTTCAAACTCGAGTGCACGTTGGAGCTGGTTATTTTGTTCCACGCTGAGGGTTTAAATGTTTCGCACGTGCTGTGTCACCGTGACCTTGTTCTCCTTTTGAATAAACACCCTGAACCCCTTCGTATCATCACTTCGACCGATGATGACAACAACTTGTGCCCGTTGCGCTAGCGAGTTCTTGCCGGGGGTTCCGGTAAACCGTGCAGATCCATCCGAAAGCAACTATATCACGCAGGTCGGGAGCGTGCTTGGTCAAAATCTCCATCGGTGACGCCCTATTTGCGTTAGCACTTGTTGGACTTCGGTTGAGTATATATGCAGTATACTCAACCGCGTCCCCCCAACATGACACTGGTAGACGACTGGCAAAATTCATACTGCGTGCCATGTTCAGCACTGTCCTGTGCACACGCTCCGCCTTTCCATTCGTAGCCTGATTTCTTTCCTCGCTGATTTGCCGTGCAACTCATGTCGACTTGCACTGCAGAACAAGTCAACGTCCGCGTACTCGCCACCCCCGTCTGTGCGGAGCATGTGGATTCGGCAGTTGAAACGGTGCTCGAAGAAAACCAGAAAGTGTTCCAACTTCTTCGCGGCCTTGTCCTTCGTAGGAGCCAGAAAGACGCGACAGTAGTTGGACTTGTGATCTATGAAATTTACAAGGTAACGGTTTCCAAGCCTGTCCTTCGGAGTCATCGGGCCCTTTAAATCTGAGCAAATCACTCCACCGATTCTATCGATGGGCGAATTCGCGCCAGTGTCTCTCCACGACTGGGAATTCTTCGTATGCTTTCCCTGAGCGCACGAGATACAAGTGGGCCGCTACGTATCCGTGAGTTTGATGCCTGACGCTGGGTCCTTAGCCATCCTCTCGATGCTATCGTAAGTGAGATGCCCGAGTCGCTGGTGAAAATGTAGTAGAGATCCCATCTGCAAATCGGCATCCTTATCATCAGGCGACTCTTCCCGCATTAAAACCGCCATCAGAACGTCGTATGGAGTCTGTGTCGTGCGTGCTGACTGCGCCGTCTTTACTTACAATACATTGTACCGCATCATCACGTCGAACGCGACTTCGCCGTCCCTACGCCTTGCTAGACCGCGCGTCGTGCCATCGTAAACAAGGCCAAAACCCTTGAGCTCGAGCTTGCCGTATGACATGATATTGCGCGCCAGCTCGGGCGCGAGAAATACATCCGTCAGCGTCACGTTCTTCTGTCTTCCTATCGCTAGTACCGTCAGCACCACGTTTCCGACCCGCAAAAGCCGTATCGTTTCACCGTCAGCAAGATGACACTCCTCCTTGCAATCTCTTGATCCCATCAAGAGTGTGGCATCGTTAACGAGGTGGCGAATGGAACCACTATCGAGCACCCATTCGCCAGCCCCGGTGTCACCGTCATCGCCAATTGCCATCGCGAGGTCATTCTTCACGGCACGAAAGCCCTTTTTTTCGTTGCCTTCTCCAACAGAAAGCACCATGTTGCCATCGCGTCTGCCGTGACGGCCTCCATTCGAATCATTAGACCTTTTGTTGCGACAGTCAGCCTTGACATGTCCCACCTTGCCGCATCCATAGCAGGAGCGCGTCTCCTCGAGCGTGCTGGACTCATTCGCATGCGCCACGACCTATATTCCAAATAATGTCCCGGACGAGCTTCCATCTCGATGGCTTGGGCGAAGTGTGCCAACTCCTCCGCGTGTACCAGGTAATACATACGGTGCGTGTCATACTTGGCCATGAGTATCGTCGATAACTCTGGTGAAGCATACCTGACGAATGTTGTCCAGCACTTGCTGCTCCGCGCCACCTGCGGCGTCACTGACAGCTACTAGGTAGAGGTAGTGCTCCGGCCACGAACGCTTGTTCTCTTTCTTGTTCGTGAACAGCTTCATGGCTTGTGCTGCTGTGATCGTTTTCTTGAACGTATCCAGCACACGTTGCGTCACGTATTGCAGCGTCGGCAACACAGTCCACCATGAGTCAAACTGTTTGTTAAAGTAACGCTCGTCAGTCCCAATCAGATACTGGCCGAGCACGTCGGTCTTATCATATTCACTCCACAGGAAATAGCAAGGCTCTTGGGCCATGTCCACTTGACGCCAAAAGGTCTTACCCCAGTCGAAAAAAACTTACCCCAGCCCGACGTACACCTCGGTGCCATCAAACTTGCGAATTGCAAGCTTGCGTTGTCTTGCGTCAGGTGTTCGGTAGTGCGTGGGCGCGGGGGCTTGCTGCGGTGACCCTGGAGGAGCCTGAGGCATCGGCTGCGGCTGGGAGGGTGGCAGCTGTGGGGGCGGCTGCGGAAGTGGCTC